AATAACGCCAGCAATATTTACTTTAAAAAATTTCCATTATTTTACTATTCTAAACCTACTCATTAAACATTAAAGAAACCTAAAAAAAATTTTTAATTTTTAGGTTTTTCATATGTATATATATACCCAAATATAAAAAAAATTCTATCCAATCATCATTCCGGTTTCCTAAAATGATACATATTAAAACATATAACGCCCTCTTACGGATATATATTTGTTAATTTTTAAAATGGAATAAAATGTATATTTGTTTTAATAAGCTAGAAAAATAAATTTCTTATTAAAAATATTAAATAAAAATAAAATTATATACTATATCATTTAATCAGTCAGTATTCTTCATTTATAATAAAAAAATGATTTAAATATATTTTAAAAAAAGTTTAAAAAATTATCATTAAAAAAATATACGTAATAAATTTTTGATTGATTTATAATTGATAATGATTGATTGCCTTTTAGCAATGCAGTTTAGCAATGCATTAGCAATTCAATGTATAGTGGGGAAATTTTTTCCGGGGAATTATTTTCCAGGGGAATTTTATTCCGGGGATTTTTTTTCCGGAGAATTATTTACCTGGGAATTATTTTCTGGGGAATTTTTTTCCGGGTAATTATTTTCCTGGGGATTTTTTTTCCGGGGAATTAATTTCCGGGGATTTATTTTCCGGGGATTTTTTTTCCGGGGAATTAATTTCCGGGGATTTTTTTTCCGGGGATTTTTTTTCCGGGAATTTTTTTCCGGGATTTTTTTTCCGGGGAATTATTTTCCGGGATTCATTGCATGCACTATGTTAGAATAATTTTTTTTGTCAAACTAAATTTTTTCTTTCTCCCGATACTTTTGATAATCTCATGGCTCACTTTTTTTAAAAAATTCTAAATTTCTTAGAGGATGAACGGTATGTGTATTAAAGTACACATTATGCAATTAAGTATACAAATTTCAATTTTTTCTGGAATAATTTTTATTGTTATGAACTATATATAATTTTATTTAAACAAATATTAAATGTTTAAACATTTTAATCTTCAAGAAAATCTATAAAACAATTATTTTGGGCATAACACCATATTTCTTGCAAGATACTTTTGTTGTAAATAAGCATCCTGGCAACGGCCAATGAGCCCTTATGTCTTTCCTAACCTCTTCATTTGGTAAATATTGGACCGGTCCTTTTTTCCCGATAACCAGTTTGATCTTTCGTTTTGGTTTCTGTTTGAAGTGCTTTTGCCATATTTGTAAAGGACTTCCATCACCGAAATTTTGAAATTATACTTATTGTTTTTTTTAAACAAAAAATATTCGCTCTTTATTTCAACTCCTTATCTGTTGGGAAGTTGATATTTGGAAATCGATTACCTTTAACCGAGGCCGCACAAAATATCCCTCTTTGAGCTAATAAGATCTACAAATTTGGGGAACAAAACCAATTATTAAAAAAATAATTTATAATTAATTTGCTGCGGTATATAAGGAGTTAAACGGAGCACAGCATTGCCACTTGCTCCCAGGCAATCCTTCCGCTGGTAGTATTTTCCCAGAATATACATGACAATTGTGCAAAAGGCCATCCACTCCTCATAGTAAAAAGATTTTATAGCCCCATTCTTTGATTTGTAATTATCATAATACATAGGCGTAGCCAGGGGGGGGAATCCCCCCTCAGAAATTTATCACTTTTTGTAAATATCATTTTTAGATAATAAAAAATATCCCCCTTAGTCTTCTCCCCACTCCCTGACCCTCAAAAATGTATGCATATATCTTAAACAATAATTTGAAAGAAAGAACAGTAAAAGTTGATATTTTTTTATAAAACTATTCATCATAATTTATACATTTTTGGGAAAATAAATTTATAAATACATAAAATGAACCAAATAGTTTTTTAATAAATGGAATATAAGCTAAAGATAAGTCTTAAGACAAAAGTGAAATGTATTATAATTATTAATAATAGATCTATAAAATTATTAAATAATATAATATATCAAATATAATTTTTTATAAAGTGAGTAATTTTAATTTATTTATCTTAATAAAAGTAAAATATAATTATAAAACTATTGATAAAATATAAATTAAATAAAAATATTAAAGCACAATATAAACAGTGGAATATTATATGTCGTAGATTTACAGTATATCTAATTTTATCAATTATCATGACAATCAAGTAATTTTTACAAATATAGCGAATTATATATTCTACAGAAAACTATAAAATATCGACAAGGACATCAGAAAATATCTTTTAAAGACATTGTGGGATAAATAATAGAAAGATTAAATTTTAATATCATTTTTTACTTAAAATAAATAGATGGCGTTAAATAACTGAATGCAAATTGTTGCTATATTTATTATCAAGAGTATTGATTAGTAAAATTTGTTAATTATTAACTGTAATATATTCTCTAACTGTCAAATATGTCTGTAAAAGTGGAATTTTACCTAGTATTTTGTAACTAATTCTATATAATAGAGGAATATCAACTATATGTTTACTTACTTTTTATAAATAAATTTCTTATAATTGTCTGTAATTTTTTAATTCCCCCCACCCCCCTTAGGAAAATCCTGGCTACGCCTATGTCATAATATGAATAAATAATTTGATTTTTGCCCAGCGATTGAGAGCCATAACATCTACCATCTTGGCTGGCCATATATTAGTGGTCCAGTAAAGACATGCTCTTGGAAGTTTGATAATTGACGGAAAAATTTACACTGAGTTATAAATTTGTCTCATAAACAATAAGAGGTAATATTTCATTGAGATATATATTATAATAATCCATTGGTCTTTTTAGCTTTATCAACCTTTGAAATTTTTCCTTTACATTTTGGAATAATTAAAGGTAAATTTGTTAAACTATTTTTTCAAACCATTTTTCTCCTAACGATTCCTTTTTCATTATTGATATTCTCTTCTTCTTCTGATTCATTTGTCTCATTGAAATCTAAATATACCAGAGTATATAATCCCGCTCAAACTATAACACCAATAGATTTAACATCTGATAAAGAAAATGATGATTATTTTTCTTTTGTTGAAATAAATGTTGCTGAATTTACAAATAATAGTTAACTGGAGGTTTTAAATAATAGAACAATCTTTTTTTATTATCCTTACATTATGAAAATTTTAAAATATAATACTGTGATACCTTCATCAACTCCAATTGAAAGGTTATTTAGTTTTGGCACAATGTTAAATACGCCGAAACGGCAAAGGTCAAATGATTAATTATTTGAAAATTATGTTTATCATAAAATAATAAATTTATTTTAAATACTCTTTTGCAAATTAATATTCAACTCCCATTAAAAATACTAGTCTCCCTTTTCTATCTATGCCAAGAATTAGCTAATACTAATATTAAAATGCCTGATTATTATAATTAACTCATCATTAAATAATATTTATTATTATAAATATTCTTTTTTATTATATGCGTATGTTACGATCTTCACAAATAGATAATAAAAACTGTATTTTATAAACTATTCTTATTTAATTGGTAATGATAATTCGAAAGTACCTTGTATTTAAGATACTCTAATTTAATAAAGGATATAAGTATCTTTATCTGTATTTATCTGTATCTAAGATTCATTTTTTATAAAGAATCTGTATCTAGATGCTACTTCCGGACGACCTGTCCAACTATATATATTCAGTGTAGTCTTTTATAGTAATCCCGGTAGGAGGGGGAGTAGAGTAGTGTTGTTAATCAGCTATGCCGAGTCGACTTAGCATAAATTCTATTCAAAATGTAAAACATCAAATTTTAAGACTTAAAACTTACTTCAGAGTAGCTTAATGAGTCGCAAGAGTTGACTCGATAAGTCGACTAGCTGAGTCGTTTAAATAATCGGCTTCAGAGTAGCTCAATGAGTCGGCTTCAGATTTAGATCTAAGTTGGCCCGATTTTTGTAAAATACTTTATCCGTGTTGTGTATAAAAATAGCAGGCCGATTCAAAATATTCTGAAGCCAATTCATTAAGCTAACTCTGATGCCGACTCATCTCAAGCGGCTCATTAAGCTGAAAGTCGTTTTTAAGACTCCAACTGGAGTTCAGAGTCATAAAACTTGACTTTTTAACAACAATAGTGCAGGCGACCTTACGTTTCCGAAAACTCTCTCTGAAAAACTTTAATTTTTTTAAGATATGGATTTCGATATTTTTTGAAAATTTTACTTAAAAAGATATTAGCGATTGTTTAACTCTACGTAAAAGTTACTTTTTAAATTTAGGGTTGCACAAAAAAATATCTTAAAATAAATTTAGGTGTTCAATTAAAAAAATATAACTGATCTTTTTATTTTAATTTAGATTTGCTCAAATTGCAAAAAAATTAACAAATTAAATGTTGCTGAGAAACCATTATTAAAATTAAAAGAATATAGAAAAAGATTACCGTTTTTTTGAAAGGATAGGATTCTTAATCTTAGGTAAATGAGAATTTATATTTTTCATTGTTATTTAATTTTTATTCTTATCTATATAAAATAATATAGCTAACTACATAGTAAAATGAAAAATCTTTTAATTATATATCTATAAATACATTTAATAAATTTCTTACCCAATTATGTATACATTATCACTATATCACAATAACATAATTTGTTTTTTTAAAAAACTAATATTCAAAATTTTTAGAAAAAATTCATTTTTAAAACTAGAAAATTTGAAAACCCCAGAAACATTTTTTTAAAGCCCAGGTACAGTGTCTATTTTCAGACACTTTAGTCAAAAACTATCATCTCAACCTCGAGTGAGTTTTTTTCTCTGAATATAGCATAAATAAATCAACTTGTGCCTCCATGTTTATGGGATTTTTATCAGCATTCGGCTGTAGATTAAATTAAAATTTGCCAATTTTCAGCTTTACCAAACTAATATGAGATGTCATAATGCTTCATTTGTTTTATTTATGGCGTAGGCATGAGACCCTCTCCCTATAAAATATTTTTGTTCATATATTTAATATAAAAGTTTATCAAGGTATATATTTTTTAATAAATATTGCAGTAAAAATATTGTTTAATAAAATACATAAATAGCATGTAGCGTCAAATATAATAAATATAGTTTTGTCATAATTAATGTTCATATTAAAATTAAACAATAGTTTTAAACATAGAGTTAATATCAACACAAACACAACAGAGAATATTTGTTTTGACTAATGAAATTTATTTGAAAAATTAGCTAGAAAACGCTAAAATTTAAAAAAAACTTAGTGTAGGATTTAAAAAATGTTATTTAAATAACAATAAATTAGTCATTCTAAGTTTTCTTTGAATCCATTATAATTTTCCAGCAAAATATAGTTGTCATTGATGCTTGCCACTTCTTCACCTTCTATATTTCCGTTTACCAAGCTTCCCAAATTATAAGTTTCTTCGTCATAGTAAATTTCTTTAAAATTATGATTATTGCGAGATTTATTCACGGTATTAGCCACAAACTTAGTTTTGGTAGAATTATTATTCCACCTGCAAATACTGTTTTTGGCGAAATTCGTTGTCGCATAATTATTAGTGTAATAACAGTTAGCCTGATTTTGACGTTGTTGGAGCAAATACGCCTTACGTCGACCTTTGAAACATGTGATGACTGCCATTTTGAAACTATGTCTAAAGCTTTTGGATATAAATGCGTAAACCACGGGGTTAAGGCAACTATTGACATAAGATAAGAGGAAAAGAAATGGGCGAATATTTTTCCAGATACCCATGTGGAGTTGTGGAATAATGTGTAGGGCTGCCAGCAAATTGTTTATCAATATGGGGCTCCAACACATAACGTAAAGGCCGATGACTACTATTAACATTTTGGTAATCTTTTGAAAATAAATATTGACAAATTAAAATTCTTCGACATTATATATGTAAAAGAAAAATTTCAATATTCTGTCTTATATGAATATTCCTAGAAATAAAAAATGAACAATTATCATTAAAAGATTTTTAATACTTTATTTATTTGCAAATTTATAAAAGGAGAATTTACTACCTTAATATTTCGATTCGGAAGATAGAACCTTAATAAAATAACAATAAATTAGAGATAGAGTTGCATTTCTTTCTATCTAAATATATTAATTAATTTTGTAGTAATATTAAAGATAATCTTGAATTCATTTAAATTATTAATAAAAGATTTCATAATCATTATACATTGATATGCCTAAAATGAAAACTTGTTTATCATCTTATTTTTCCAATTTTAGCCATAACAAAAGGGAAATGTATGTTATAATATATATCGTAGGGGTTTAACAGATCCTAATTTTTTGAAAAGATTTAAATCATTTAAATATCATGTTTTTTAATTTTTAAAAACCTGATTTTGCCGTAATCGTCCGGCACGTGTATGGACCACCTACTCTATTAATTTCATACAATTTCCGTAAACATTTAAAGTACTCTTATAAATTTTTTATATAAATTAAAAAACACAAAAATCTTTGGCAAAAACTGTCTGAAACTCACAGGATAAGTAGTAGGTGCAGTTAGTGTTGTTAAAAAGTCAGATTTGAGTCGATTTTAGAAAAGGCCCTATTAACATTTTGGCCAAATTAATATTATGTAAACTTCGAGGTTTGGCAAATAAAGGTCGAAACCTTTCTGCAATCTAGGCTAAAATCTTAATCAAGCCGTTTTTAAAAACGACCCAAATTGAGCTTTTTAACAGCACTAGGTACAGGTATTTAAAATTAAAAAACGCGTGTTATCATTTAGTAAAAATCGGTTTATAAAACATTGCCCTTAATTTGTTAAACTAAGCATAATTGGGTAAGAAGAGTTGAGGTTTTAGCATGCATTGTATGTTAATTTATTTTTCAAGATAAAAAGGCACGTCTAGTCATTTCTACCAAAATTAAAGTTAGTTGACTACTTCATTTATTTAATAATGTCTTCATTATCAAGATTGAGGATAATATAAGAGGAAGGCAAGAAAATTAGCAATAGTTGTAGGCCATATTTTCTAAATGTAATGTTGGTTATTAGTTGCTTTATTTGTTTGCAATATATATAAAATACCATACAAAATAAATATGAAATAAAATTATTATTCAAATAATTTTTTAAAAATGTATTCTTTTAACTAAAATTGTATACTATATTTAAAATTTACGTCAAAAAATAGAAATATAACATTAAAAATATACATTTGTCAATTTGAAATCATATACTCTCCTTAGGTTATCACATATCACAATCATTCTTTAGAGACTGGTAAAAATTTATATATTTTATTTTATAGTATGCTAAAGATAAATGGTAATGAGTAGAAATAGATCTATAAATAAATTATTATTTTGATGCTTGTCTAATATACTATGTTTTTTAAGTTAATTTAACTATAATTTTTTAACCTGTTTGTGTATGAATTTTTCATCGAAGTTTGAATTTTTATTTAATTGGTTAGTATTCAGCGGCCTTTCGTTCCTTTGATCACTGATAGTATAAACAGATATTCGAGTAAAATATTTTCAAGTATTACAGACCAGTAAAAATAAATTCTAAAAAACTATCATACTAAAAACATGAATGTATCCTTACTATATCCGATTGAAATGCATATAATATAAAATGTAAATTTTATATGAATATCTTAAATTCTAACAACAATCTCCATAGAATTTTCTATGGAGATAAAATAAATTAAATAATGGTATTCATTATTTAATGTTTATTTTATAGTTTGCAATTTGAATTAAAGTTAAATAAAATAAAGCAAAACAGAAAGTTATGGATTATATATAAAATTTTGGTATTAAGCCAGAGTTGTATAAAAAAATCTCCAAAAAAGATTTTTGAGAGCAAGTTAAAAATTTTAAGCAAGATCTTTAAAGATTTTTTATTTTAGAAAAATTTTGAGCAACGATCTTAGGATCGAGATCTTTGAAGATTTTTTATTTAAAAATATTTTTGATCAACGATCTTCATCTTATAAGATGTTATAAGTTATTATTTTTATAATTTTTTCTGATCAAAAATTTCAATATTTTAAAATCGTTATACAAAATATTTTTAAATAACAAATCTTCAAATTTTTTGACGTTGCACAAATTTTTTTTTTTTAAAAAAATCTTCAAATTTTAGGATCTTCAAAGATCTTTTTATTTTAAGAATATGTATAACTTTGAAATTAACTACAAGAACTCGTTTTGTTTTAGCCTTTATTATAATCAGCTATTCATGTTTATAGCACAAAAAAATGGTTAAATAAACAAAAATTAATTTTGGTTAATTGAATTTTACTAGGAAACTTTCAAACTAAAAAAAAACAGTAAAATGTGTACGTATTTTAGGTTTTATGCAAAGTTACTAATGTTTAGAAGCTTTGACCACATGGGCTAATGATAAGAAGGAATAATATAAAACACACATTATTAACGTTAAATATTTACACATGTAGATTTTGGAATGAATGTCTTTGCTTCCTAACATTTTTCAGCTCTCTGGCAATACTGACATAGGCGAAACTCATGATAATTACCGGGAATAGTAGCAAGAGGCATAATTGAAATATTTCGTAGGCAATGGAATATTCCCTATTGGGCCATTCTTTGATGCACCAATATCCTTTCCTGACCTCTCCCACTTCTATATGTTGCTTTTAGTGATCGCATTAACGATGAATATAAGAAATAAATTAATGTTGAAGCTGAAGGGAGGTTTCTATGTAAAATAGTTATATTATATCATCAAAACAGGTTTGAATTAGTGTAAATTACCTACCTATTTACTATCCTTCCTTCCGGAGAGGTCAAAATTATCTCTTTTCTTAGGAAATATTTTCAAAATTACCTATTTTTTTAGGGAATATTTTCAAAGTTACTTCTTTTTTATAATTTATTTGTACTCTGAAAAATCGGGAATTAAGATGAAAAATGATCATTTTTTATATTTAGTTCTTTTTTTTGTTCGATAAACTATAAAAATACAATAATTCTCACTCTTCCAACAAGGATAGGAGTGGCTAAAATGAACGAAATTACCCATACCGAAGTGATTAACATTTTAGCTTGGTACAACGTAGAAAATATTTTGACCTTGAGTGGATATATTATCGCCAAATATCTATAGATTTTATATTTTACAAGTATTTAAAAAAAGATATGGAAGGATGAAATAAATGTAAAATTTTTGTAATGTTTATGGAGGTATCATGTATAAATATTTATAGTAAATGTATTTGTATACCAATATTAACAATAAGTATAGAATATTTATCCCAAAATTTCAAAAATTTTGTCATGACTCAGTCATTTTTATTTTAGTTACCGGTATAATCTAGCAATATGCTTAAATATCTCATAAAGTATCTAAATTTCTAGGGTATAAGTATTAAACATGCTAAATAATATTTTTGGCAAAATCAGATTCTTTAAATTTAAAAAAATGGCAAAATGATTTAATGATTTAAGGTTGGAAAATAGTTAGGTAATTTGCTGAGCTCGTTTGAAATTTAAAGGTCTGATTTTGATAAAAATATATTCCAGTTTGTGTAAAATACCTATCCTAAATTTTAGACAAGATAATCGTGAACTAATTTATAATATAATAAACACTATAATTACATGGAATACTAAAATATTTAATCTGGTAATATGTATAAGTGCATTGTCGTGTCGATAAATTATGTTTACTTTATATTTAGAAAATATGTCCTACTATAGAGTATATCAGTAACTCCTTTCATTTATACTTAAAAATATAAACTTATAAAAAACACTTTCGAATTGTAATCATATTAATTACTCTATTTAACACTAATAAAAATATTATACCCTATTTAACACTAATAAAAATATTATAAGTATTGAATTTGGCAATACACATATTGCCAGATTTCAACATTACTTGCAATAAACCTCTAATTATAATATTTATAAAATTTACTTAAAAACAGAAATTTAGGTCGGTTTTGAGAAATTTTAGAGAAAAATTTCGCACAATGTAGAATTCAAAAGATATATTTTGAGCTCATGTTTATCTAAATAATCTTAACCAACGAGCCCCTCTATAATCTGGTCATAAATTATGGGTTATCCACTTGTTATGAAAGTATTAGTCATTATAAAATAGGTTTTACTAATAAATATTTATGTCAGGGGAGTCACATGTCTTTTAAATCTCAGGGGGCTTAAAAAATAATTTTAAATTATTTTCAAAACTTTTTTTTAGTTAACATTATACAAAATTACCTTATTTTTTAATCGTATAAAAAAAAATCCAAAATTTTGAGTGTGCTCTTCAAATTTTTAAGGGGCTCAAGCCCCTATATTCCCCCCCCCCCTTTACTGACGCTACTGATTCATATGAGCTTTAAGCTTTCTGTCGTTAATAAAATACATATTATTGAGATGGTTAACTCAAAAGCTATTTTGGTCAATGTAGAAAGGGGTGAATATATATAATATTTATTACGCAATTCTAATCAGATTTTGGTAATCAGGAACTAATGTAAATAAGTGACAACCTTGGCCATATTTTGGAAGTTTCAATATTATATAAATATAAAAAATTAACAAAATGAAATATTTACCTTTCAACGCTCATAGTTGTAAGTGTTAATACTGAACAGATTACGGAAACATTTTGCATGTAATGCACGAATTTGCAAAGAAATTTGCCCATAGTCCAGGTATATGAGAGAAAAGCTATTAGCTTTTTTTAATAAAAAAAGAAATTATTATATAAAATCAGTAGGTTCAATATTCTTAATTTGGAACTTACATGATTTGATCAACTTATTTGGTGTAATTCTTTTAATACATTTTAATACCATATTAGTTTGATTTAAAACAATTTATAAAAATTGCCAATTTTTAATTTAAAAAAAAAAATCAGAGCAGGGAAAAATACATTTGCTTATATTTTCGAATTTCTTTAAAAAAAAATAAGTGAGAACAAAATTAAAATGAAAAAATTTAAAAAATCCAAATAAAATAAATGTGTACAGGACTTAAATGAATAAAATAATAATAATAAATCCAGGCTAAATCCAATAAAAAGATACTAAAATAATTTTCTTTCAGAGTTTATTTGAACTCACAACACCCCATTATTTGTTACTCTAAGAATTAAGCTACCTCTAGTTTTCATAATATTTATGTGTTTATATTATCATGAAGTCATGCTATATACTTTTTGAAACTATTTTGTGTTTTATATAGAGAAAATATTATCAACTAATTCAAATATATTAAGAAACCTAAATCAAGTTTTCATAATATATTCATATTTGAAATCTATTATAGTTACATTCATGATATTTAAATTATTGTTAAGGAACATCATGTCGGTAAATGAATTAATATTTAAAATTGGTTAAGATAAAAAGGAATCTACATAAAGTTATTTGCCTGATGTTGGGATAGTGGGGTTGATATGTATTAAATATAGGCGAGGCCTGATAGGCCTGATTTTGGCTAGGGTTGTGCTTTAAGTGTATAAGGCAAAACAATTTTTCAAATTTGTTTTAAGATATATTATTGATCTAATCTGCTTTATTTCTATAAAACATATATATGAGGTAGGGTTAGTTTTAAAAAATAAAAAAATTGTATTGATGTTGTTAAAAACCTCGATTTAAACGATTTTTAAATGGGAAGATCAAGATTTTAAGGGAAAAAAAATAAGATTATTTAAACCTCGAGATTACGCTGGAATAGGGTCAAACCATTCTGAAATCTAGAGGCTTTAAATATAAATATTGGATTTAAAAATAATGATATAAGATATGGTTTCTGGCAGAAAATGCAAAAACTAAACAAGATAAAGATAATTTATAATTCATTCAAGCAGTTTTTGGTTAAATTCCAAGAAGGTAAATTATATGAATCGAATTAATTCAAGCTGATATGTCTCATTTTGGTATTCTTGTTTAAATATTAATTTTTTCCCCAATTTACTCTTTTTTCATCATAATACTAAATAAACAACATTTTAAAGACAATAAAAACTTATTTAGTAATTTTTAGGTTTATATATTTTATATATATAGTAGTGTCACTAGGGGGGGGGCATAGGGGGCTCGAGTTTACTGAAAAAGTGTCATTTTAAAAATATTAGCTTTAAAAAAGAAGAAATTATTAGTATACCCTGAGATTAAGAACTAGTGATGGCACTATATATATGTAGTAACGTGTAAATAATAGTAGAAAATAAATGGTATATTTTTTTTAACACTATATTGTATTAATTTTTAATATATAAAAATAACTTATTTAAATTTGATAGAGACTAAATTATTCAGTATAGATCTTAAAAAATTTTTTTAATTACCAGTACTAAAGATTTCAATTTACAAAAAGATTATTCCTCAAAATGATTCTTTTTTGAAATTTTAATGATCAAATTATATTGGTTCAGGGCTAAAAGATCTTGATTCTGATTCCTATTATTTTCAAATCCCACCATAAAGGGATTCGCCAAAATTAGGATAATATTACATAAATAATTTATCCGCTCTCGTAACAAAGTAAATTAACTTATTCATGTCAATTTCATCTAGTAGCTTATAAAAATTTAATCATATATTTGAAAAAAAACACATCATTTATAAACTTTATTATATTATAAACATAAAATGTCGTTTTTCAATATTTTTATCTTGTAGAATTATAATTTTCAAAATAATATAAGTAATAAATCACGTTTAGAAAAGCCAATACAGGAAATTATATATGGATGAATAGCTATTTTAACAAATGGCAATAATATAAAAAAATCATTTTAATAAACTGTTTACTATTATTTTATTTTGAACTATTAGTTGGTTGACATATTAGAGGTGACCACATCGAAATAGCTATCATTTTTATACTAAATTAATGGTGGTAGTAATATATACACAATACATCAATATTAGGTTGAAAAATATTACTTATTATTATCATTATAAAATAAGCCTTATAATTATCATATATAATAAGAGGTGGTCACCGTGGCGTAGACTAGGGGGAGGATAGTTTTGTAATTACCCCGCAACCTCGTGGAAAATATAAGTAAAATTTTGTGTTTTCATGTTACTTTAATATTGATAAAAATTTGCTTTCATTTCTTTCAAATTGATAAAATCCTCCTCCTTAATTTTCTATTTTTTTAAAAAAAATTATCTAAAAAATTTCTTCTTCTATATAAAAAAATAGAGAAAATAATCTTAAAAACTAAAAATAAACAAATAACTATAGGTATATTTAGTTTTTTTAAATAAAATATTAACATTTTAGAAAAAAATTGTAATAAATTATATTACAAAAAGTTGAAAAACGGAATATATCCCAAAGACGTTATAATAGATGTGGAATCGATGTAACTTTTCCATTTCCAAATGTAAAAGCGCACTTAGTATTAATAGCAATTTCTAAACAATCGCTTAATCTTAGCCATTGAGGGTAAATAATTATCGTTTGTAATTATAATCATTCAATTTCGCTCTAGCCAATGTATAATATTATACTTTAAAAAAACAAGAAAATCAAAAATTCCTAATCAGAATTTTTCATAAGCTAGACCTGGCTTTGGGCCGGAAGAATATGCGTTTAGGGGCGAAGTCCCCAAATTTTTTTTATTAATCCATACCCCCCAACCCTTATTCATCAAAAGTAATAACATATTGATGATTTCCAATTGCCAAGTTATATTTAGAATATGAGGAATAAAAAATTAAGAAAGTATTCTTCTTCCATAGTTTCAATAAGCTTTCCTAATTTTGGATAGAAATATCAATATTTTGTTAATTTTTGAAAATTTTTTAATAGGGAACCGCTCTTAAGTTTAAATTCGATGCCATTAAGATTTAAATTTCCATTTAATTTTATAAATTTTAAGGTGCTTCAGCCTAAGTATTCATTTAATTTGTAAGATCCCAAAATACCAAAATACATTTCAATTAAGCACAAATTTTTAACATTTTTGCATATTCAGAAATTAAGCCCTGCCATAGAAATGAGTATAATAATTAATTTACAATTTATATTGAAAGAAAGTGTGACCTTTTTTAATTATATTTTCTTAGAGATTAATAGAATCTACTTGACATGTCAAAAATAATTCCGTGATAATTGTTTTAAGAAAGAAAACAAAAATAATCAAAATGTTTCGAAATATATTAAAAATCTTATTTCATAAATTATTTAAGGGGTTATATGTTTGAAGAAGCAATTATATTACTTAAAATTTATGAATTCTGTCAGATCTGGCTCAATCCTGGAAATAAATTTAAATATTTTTTCCCATCAATTTAATGAGTATTTTTTCAAAGATCCTATCCTGTCCGTATTTTATTTTCGAAATATGAGTCCGATCTGATCAGGAAGTGTTTTTATTGGATTTCTGAAAAAGTAAGATATTTTGAAGAAGGCGGAAAAATTATAAGCGTTGAAAGAAAATAAAATAAAAGATTTTTGGGCAAATATTTACAAAAACTTTAGGAAAAGTTAATAATTTAAAATTTTATAGCTAGTCCTGCTCAATCAAATATAAATTTATAAAGCAAGGTAGGATTCCACAGAGTTCGAGATAATTTTTATTCTTGTCCGACCAACTCGGATGAGGTTGTGGAAAGCGCTAGTTTCAAGTATCATATAACCATTTTTAAGGAAAAATTATCTATTATATTAATATATATCATTTTCATATCAATTTAATGTTAAATTTTTCTACTTTATGTCATTTAAATTAAATCTTATATATTTAATCTCAAATTTTATGATTCAAGGAGAAATTTTATTAGGAATAAATCAGAAATTTGCCTTTGACTCCGTAGAGTTTTACCTTAGTCAATACTGACCCAGGTCAGATTCATTTTAAATGGGATTCTGTGCGAGTCCAGTCGAACAAAAAATCGAATAAAATGAGGTGTGTAAGTTTATTTTGTAAAAATAAGAGTAAAAAAAGCTTTCAAAAGCTGTTATTAACATTTTACTTTTGTTTTGAAGAAATCACATAAAATAACTAAAATTCCTGAATTCGGATCTGGGGTCAGGAGTTCAAGAATTAAGAGACCCTAACCGAAATCAGAAAGTTCAGGATTGGGTGAAGTCAGTATACTGTTAATTGATATTTAGTATTAACATTTTCAATTATGCGCAAACTATTTTGAACTTAATTGGAAACAATTCTATTTTTAAGATATTTTTAAAAAAATTTAAATTTTTATAACTATATTTTCATTAATATTTGTATTTATTGTGTAATAAGAAATAGTCTAAATAAAGAAATCTGTAAAAAAAATATACAATCAAACCATGATATTGATTAAATTCAAAATGATAGAAATATTTACAAAATAGACCCGGTCGGTTGAGTTTTGGGAGCGGGTCGGGTTTCACATACTTCTAAGTTGTATATCATTATTTATTCATTAAGGGAGATTGGGGTTAGGTAAACCCTGGTGCTTGGCAAAGCACTTAATCTCATTTTAAAATTAAATACACCAGGAGGGTAAAATTTTATCCTAATATAGCTTTTATTAGTTTACATCTATAGAAAAAAGATTTTCTGAAATAATTAATTATTAAATATTTTATTTAAGAAATAAAATTTTGATGACAAAAGATTATTACATGACAGAATTTTAATTTTTATTAATGTATAATCATTTATATATAAATTAAATTTTATGGCAAAGTTTTAAACTCTTTTATAATTTGAGAAAGTTT